CAACAGATTGTGGGACTCTTGGGACCACCCGTCATGCCGATACAATGCCATGATTTGACATTTGGTGTCATTCTCGTCTTGGTCGCAGTTTGTCTTTGGATATGATACGCAACCAGCCTTGCAGCTCGAAGCTGCCAGAGAAGGTGGTCGAAGATCACCTTGCTGTTCGTGCGAGCACACCTGATGAAGCTCAACAGTACTCTTTCAAGCAGTGCAGTGCCTTAGTTGGGTCCCAAAAACCGATTTTGCGGGCCGGGCGTGTTGACCATGCGACCAAAGATGAATGGTTGGCCAACAAGTGTATTACGAAAGATCGCTTGACGAGGTCGAGAAGGACAAGATCCTGCGGCAGACTTCACCAACGGCGCATTCACATTGAGAACCGTCCTTTGAAGGCATTGTTTTGCTTGTGCTGTCAAGTAGGTGCTGGTAAGATATAAATACATCAATACATCAGGATACATCAGGGTCACGTGGGGATGGGTCAAAACCTGGAGCCCCAACACCATGTAGCTTGACCTTCAGGTAGGTATCCTGGTTTTGACCCACAGCTATCTTGCAATCATATATAGGCGACTAAGTCGGCTATATCAACAAACGCCACTTCCAATAGCCGAGGGTGTTTGCCCTCAGAATCTCTTCCTGGGAGTGCTTCGATCCCATTGCTCCACTGGCCAGGGCCTGAAACACATGCTGACGCCCAGCCAGAAAGCGAAGAAAAGAGCCTTAAGCTATGCCAACAAGCCATGCCGCCACGCTTGGGGCTCCACTTACTGACGGGAACGCTGCCCAGAGCTCCAAACGGAGCCAGTGCCAGGACTGCTTGGGGCTCCGCGCCCATCGTGGCGGTCCATATCCGTGCCAGAGAGGCCGGTGAGGCGCACTGACCCGGGATGGTGCCAGGTGACGACAAAGTCTGACGACAAGTCTGACAGTTTCAGAATTGAACGAAGTCTGCGCAGTAGGTTGGGCGGTTTGTTCGTTTTTGGGTGGTTTCGACTCCAAGAGGTCGGATAGCGGGAGCGTGTTGTAGAGGGTGTTTCAGGGCATTATTGGACAGGGTAGGATTCTAAAAAGTGTCTTGTTTGCTAGCAGCCTTGTTTTTCGACACATGGATAGGGTGGTGTCATATTTTGGAACAGAGTTGATCGCACCGCAACCCGCAAACGCCTTCTTTATTGGACTCATCTGGACAAAACACCTGTACAGTAATTGCTCAAAAGCCGTGCCCCCAACGTGTGAGTGCCCAGATGACAACCCAACAGACGCCATGATCTTCGCTTTTGTCACGACATGTTGCTGATTGGAATTGGGGTCTTACGTACCATCACAGCCAGGACAGTTGTTCCGATGGGTTCCATTTCTTCCGACATCCTTTTAAAATCCTTGAAAGGTGCTTGGCTGTTGGGAGAAAGATCTTCCCACGGCATGGCCCATAAGTCAACTTGCAGGTGAAAAACCAGCAGAGATGACCGGAGAGGATATGGTGGATCACCAGTCACAGGCATTCATTGGGGAACTTCCTAAATCTTCCTAATGTACCCACCTGTTCAAAGCTCTCACACTATACTACCGGCCCCATTTGCATGTTTTGGGTGGTCAAATTGGGTGGACCCAACTTCTTTTCAAAATGAACTCAAATTGGAACTTTATGGAAGGAGCAAAGATGGGTCTTTGTCACTGCAAAGACCTAAAACACCAAACACACCAAAACCGGTTGGACCAGGACAACGATGATTGGCCCACCGCCGAGTCACCGGACCAGGCGGTCGAGAGGGACGGTCGAGAGGGACGGATTCGAGTCCGGCACCAAACGGATGAATAAGAATAGATGGGCGTCATGGATGAATATGGATAGATCATGGATCCCTTAGCAAACTCAATAGACCCAATGGAAGTCTTAGAGAATTAGTCAGACTTGGTGGATGTTGTATATTATTGGAAGGATCGAGTGGGGTCAGAGGTCATTTTGTTACCTGATCTCTTCCACTCTCTTTGGATCATCCGTGATCGGCCTTGTTTTAGCACCTTTTGAGCACCGGTCCTCGCTTTGGGCGATCTACGAGACAGAAGGAGGCAGATGGGTCTTTGTCACTGCAAAGAGCCTTATGCGATTAACTTGGTTTAAGGATCAAAGAAAGCAACACAACAATAACATCATATAAAATCGTACATGCAAGCAATTGTCATGGGTCCATACTTTTCCATATTATGTTTCCTTGGAACTACAGCTTAGAGTATTTGCCAAGGACAAATCCAGTGGGGAGTCTTGTATAATCCTTTGTATATATATATATACTAACATGTGATATCATTGTGATAATAAATATGTGTATACATATAATTAGTATATATATGAGGCAACCTCAAAATTATCATCAACCACTTTAGTAAGGGACGTTTCATCTCTGTGTTGCTTTCGTGATTTTCCTTGAAAAACGATAGGGGACTGACAAAAAACGATACCCCTATGTATACATACTTGCAAAATCCAAAACCATGGAAAACGATAGGGGACTGACAAAAGTGAAACGAAAACACTCCAAGCATATATTTTTGACGCTAACTCATATATATATATATATACACATGTGTGCTGGGTGGGTTGGCTGGACGACCTTCCAGAGGGAGAGAGAACTCGTGGGACGGATGCCTCGTTGAGGATTTGCTTGTCAGCTTGACAAAGTGTATCGAGCAGGCAGGGAGGTCTTCTGCTCGATCAAGTTGCAGTAGTTTCTGGTTTAGTGTGGGGTGGAAGCAAAGGCCAACCTGATTTATAATGATTAATATTATGAACCGACAAAGAAACTGTAGTTGAGTCTCCACAAGCAAGGAAGTGGTCCCTCCCGCGCTTGCTTGAACATGCCGGTGGGGTGAGGGCACCGAGTCAAGATTTGGAGAAGACCTTCGAGAGACCTTTGGTAAGCCCCCTGAAATGTACTTTGGATTTGGCTTGCAGGGACAGGCGAGTGCTTTTAAGCACGTCATCTCATTTCTCGATTGCTTGGGGATGAGAAAGCTCCTCACCAAAGACATTCAGATTCAACCGTGGTCTTTTATTGTGAGTTTTTCGTTGAAATGTTCACAAACACGACCCTCTTTGGAACGTTCCCACCTTCCTCAGTGGAACACCCAAACCGGTTGCACCGCTTGGGCCAAACGGTTCGGTGTTTCCGCTCCGCTCCTCCGGATTTTGCGGCGAGGCGGTGCAGAACGAGTTCGGTGACATCAAGGCATGGGACGTCTACTTAGCCGCCACCACCGAGAAGGCGCCTGCGACCGTGGACGTGCGTGCAAGGGTGGGGTGCGGGCTGGGGGGGCGGGCTGGGGTAGAATGTGGTAGATGGACTTCGTTGGTTCAGGATGCTTTTTGGGGGTGGCATGGGTGGAAACGAGTCTCTGAAGGAGAAAGGCATGAGCCAACAGTGAGCCAGCAAGAGCGTGTGTTGGAATTGAATTGGATAATAACTTTTTGTTGGCAATAGGACCATTCAAGGAGCTGAAGAAGCAAGGAAGAAGGCGGTCAATGATACTACAAAAAACTGGACCAAGAAAGGTGGACCAAACAAATTGCGGGGTTAGTTAGACCCACTTGCAGAAAAATGGGCCGGTTGGTTCATCAAGCCCAAACTCAATGTGGTCAGCTGCCCACTTGGCGTTTTGGAAGATGGATCAGATCACCATCGTTCGCCATGTCAGAGCTACAAATGTCTACAGGCATCGCATCGTTTGTTCCAGCGTGTGCTGCGTGAAGGCTCGGAAGGTGGCTTCAGAGCATTTGAAGCAGAGCTCCAAGAAGTTGAGGAGGAGCAGCCACCCGGGGAGAGGAAACCGCTGAACTCGCCGAACTCACATGACCATGGCGTTCGAGATTTTGGGACGTGGAGTTGTTCCCTACCTAACTACCATGGGACCCAGCCTGGCACAAACAGCTGGCACACATAGAAACAAGTATCCGTGTTGACAAGGAAATAGATGTAGAGAAGTAGAGCTGAAGAGTTTGTGGAGAGATTGGGTGCAATGAAAAGTCTACTTGTGCTGCATGCTGGACAAAACATCACTGGATCTATGGATATCTATTTCATTTGTACCTACATTACTACATGGAGGTGGTTTCAAGGATCAATGTGTACAGACCTGTATTCAATATGTGGAGTGTCGCGGATGTATATATATACTGTATATATATATATATTTATACACAGTATTTATATATATATATATCAGAGAAATTTGCTGGATAGTTTTCACGACAGCAGAGCTGTTTGATTTTTGTTGGTTTGAGAACTTTTTTGAACCCTGCCGCACTGGTCAGTGGAGGAAGCAGAACGTTGGGCGGATCATTTAAGAACTGCCCGACCCATGGGTCGCTCGTGCACATAGTGCTACCCGTTCATCGTCGCTCGGGGGTTCCTCACTTCAAGACATACCATGTTGATCCATGTTGGTGTTGTGGAACGCATGTGTCATCCGAGGGTTGGATGATGTGGGGTGTAGAAATGCGACAAGCAGCAGCAGACTGACCCATCCAAACAGAGCGTGAGCCTTGTTGAACAGGTAATGTCGTTGATGTGTTTGTCCGATTCACTGGAGTGATCGGATGCACCGAGCCCAAAGCCACCTCTCGTCAACTGAAGTTGAAGATCCTGCATTCTATGGAGACGACAGATGACCAAGTGAGAGCATCCTGTTCTGATCTACTGCTATGATTTGCAATGGTCCCATCAACTCTATGCAGTCAACAAAATGTGTCCATCAACCCATATCAACCCTATGAACAGAAGATGTCATGCGTCGCATGCGTTGATTTTTCTACATTTTTCTCCCCTTACAGGCAAGCTACATCTCCGCACATTTCCCCTCCGTGTCCTTAAGCCACAGGGCCTTCATACAAACATGGCAAAACATATCACATCCGGCCTGTATATATACATATATATATATATATTCAGATCTGCCAGGGGAATAACGTGGGTGTCCCAGCCGAGTCCCAAAATCAACCACAATTAGCGTGGTTCCCGTATGTCTTTTTCCGCAGAAAGCCTAGCTACTTACCTTACCCACGTGGTTTTTCGGCGGCGACGTGCCTGCGATTTCCGGCACCGAACTGTCACTCCCTCCCTGCTCCCCGCTCCCTCGCGGGTTTGTTTTTTGTTGCGGTACTTTGCACACATCCTCAGAATCCTCTCCTTGCCGAAGCTGGAGCGGAACCGTCACACGGGCTCCGGCGCGGTGGATTCCATGGCCGAGGTGGACAGACAAAGAGCGACGAGAGTTTTGTGCAGCGAACCCCCCGGGTGTCCGAAAAAGAGGTTTTAGCAAAAAGACATCCGTTACAGACATGTTGAGACCCATGAAGCAATGAATTTGAGCTGGAGTTTTACTTTGAGTAAGGGGTGTGGCGGGGCCACGGGGG